TCAACAGCTGACGCAAGAGTCACTGTGGTTCACAGCCTGATATAATATCAGCTTAAAATTAGTTTACTACTCGCCTTTGCCTCTCACTCGGCCCCTCGTTTGCCTCTTTTCCCACACGAATGGAGCGATTCCTTCAATTACGAGTTAGAAATCTTACCATTAATCACTCTTACCCGTGACTAGATTCTTCTACTGTCCCCTTAAATAATTAAAGACACAATTGATTGCTTAACACATTCCATTAAACATCTGACACCATATAAAGTATAGTTATTCATACATCAAGCGTACTTGATTCTAACACCATCTTCTCATGCTACCTCACAAGCACGATTGACTGACTACATCAGCTGATATTTACAACATCGGCGTAACCTCAATTGCAAGACACAGTAATATCCATAGAATCTACAATAATCAAGAATACAAGAACACACCCTCACTACTTCAATAGAATTATCTCTCTCTACACAACAGTGCAATATTATTATAATCATTTACAATAACAAACCTTGTTTTACTAAATACATGATATTTTTCAGCCTTGTCAATTATTATTTCCTTTAAAGTTATCCTGTCGAGACTAATCCACTGAACTATTGAATTGGTAGTTTGAGCCATAAACTAAACCTTTAAAATCGAACAATCAGATATACGTAAACTATAAAGTACAAAACATTTCCTAAATTTCACTGCATTCCATAACCCTGCACGTGCGACAACAAGCAATAGGCGTACGTGCGCACTCGACATCTTAAGACATTGTTCTGCTTACATTGTTCTTAACTGCGCCGAATCTTGTCGAACGCACTAGCCAACCTCATCTAGCTAAATCCCAGAGAAAGGAGAGACGACCAATAGTAGAAACTCCCCCCTTTCTGACACTCTCCCGATTAGCATATTCAAGACTAGATCCGGAAGGAAGTGGAAATAAATGCGTGCATGATCCATCATATTGCTCAATGTCAAACTCTAATTGGATGCAGGAAAGAAGGGTTCCCTAGTGGAACCGAGTTAGTGAACTATTTAAGAAGGACAATGCAATGTACCGACACTTATTCTCACCACAGATAAGTCACGACTATTCTCAAGAAGGCGGAACAGTGAAAAAATCGTTCAGCTGAGTCTTGTAAAATATCATTCATTCTGTGATTCGTAGTCACAGATACAAATAATCTCGCCAAGCAAATAAGGCCCAAGGAACAAGAATTCCGTCATCTCAAGAAAGAGAGACAAGAAGGTTCAAGTGTAAGCAGTTAGCGCATGGAACTTCACCTTCACTCCCGTCAGAGGAAAGAAGGAATAACACTACAAGTTCAAGTAAGTTAGCATTAGTATTAATTCTTCGCTTCACGACCTATTCAGAAAACGGACCTACAAGCCCTGTCCAGAAGTTTCCCGTGCATGCTCACTGTGGAAAACTAGCAACTCGCGCCAGAATGTGGCGCGGATTTCCTCTAACCTCAATCTTAGACTCGTGCGCACTCACACGTCTTATCATTAAAGACATCTGCAACACGTGCACGACCACGATTCAGAGAAGAACAGTTGTGTTCATTCAATAGCACAACAAACAGTCATAACCTCACAAGTGATAGTACTTAAAGTGACAATAATTTTATAGTATATTTCTTTCCACATTAAATCACTAAATCACAAGTACCGGCCAGAGGATCAGGAATTTCACAACCCTCTGGTTCTCCAATATAATTATATCACAACGCCACAATATTATTGAGAAACATAAAGGTCATTTATAACGTCATCACTATTAATTCATCACTAAATTGGAAATAAATTGAAAATAAATGAATTAAACAGCAGGAAGAATTGTATTAATTATTGAATCAGTGCATTAACCCTTCCACTTGCCCACGCATTTTCCCACACAACATCTAGTGGTTTCTTAGTTAATTCCACAGGTTGGGTTCTTTAGCCGTATTAGTGGAATTTAATTTTTATACAGTATGATACTATAAACATGTATAATTAATGATTACAAATTGCTAAATGTATTTAAAATTTCTTCATAACTTATTATAAATGTATTTACTTATAATTTTAACGAGAACTTCATAATTTTTATTTCTAAATAATTTTGCCGTTTTTTTATCAAATATATTTAATAAAAGATAGAAATATTAATACGTAATTTTCTTACCGTTTTAACGTTTCTGTTCTTGAAATATCATCTTCTGATGTATCTGTATCACCATCACTTTCACTAAATGAGGTATTAAGTTTTTCATAATGTAATAAACGATCCAGTAAAAAACTTTTATCTCTATTAGCTTTCAATAATTGTCGTTGAGTTGAACGTAAAGCTTCTTGAAAACATTCATTTTCCTAAATAAAATAATTTTATTACTGTTTATTTTTAAAAACTATTAAAAACCAAAATAAAAAATGATATACAAAACATATTGGTAATAAATTTTTTAATATGCATGACAGTTTAAATATACAAATATGAATTTTTATATATATTATATGGTTAATAATAAAATGAAACAATAATTAATTAAATAAAGTGTTTCGTACATAAATTCATGATATTGACAATTTAAAAAATGAGTTTTATTTTAAGAATCGGAATAAATCAAAATTAAGGATTCTAAACAATAAACATATATGCATCAAATTAATACATTAAAATTAAACAAAAAAATATTATAATTAATAAAAGAATTATATAATTTAAATAAAATAATAATTAATAAAAGTACTACATAATTTTTAAAATAATGTTCATGCTTTAATTTATTTAATCTAATTTCGGTTATGAAATGCAGTCCAGAATTTCCTTAGCTTTTGTTCTTTGTTAGCAGAATTATGCGAATGAATTTCTAGAATACCATAGCGCCCCTTCATTTCATATTGTGTGGTGGATAATTATACATCGAGTTCATAAGCTTGTCATTCTTAATAAATCACATTCATAAAATTAAGTATTGTATCACAACTGCCTTATTTCTTAAAAGAACTCCATTTTCTCTTATAAGAAGAAGCAATTTACGAAAATGGTGTTTGAGAATAACAATTTAGACTAGTGATATATGAAAAATCTGTAATTTTTATTATTAACAAATGACTTCTAACAGTTAAGTAGCACCTTCGAAACCTTTGAAACTAGCTATTAGCAAGCCTGTTATGAAGCCCACTGCAGACTCAAAGTAAAGCAAATTAAACATAAGATACAGTATTAAAATAATATTTAAATATGTTTGAAAAATTTTTAAATCCAAGAATATATTGCTACAATTCCAACAAATTCAGTTATTTATTTACATAACATCGTTATTCAACGAAACTAAACTAACTTGAAGGGTTGCTAAACAGTACATTTAATATTATCACATTTTGATAAAGCAATCTAACAAGCTTTAATTTTATTCTACAATTTATATATGAAAATTCAATAACCCATATAATAACATATAATAATCCATAAGAATAATATTATTATTGATAATCTTCACAAGTTGAAATGATTGAACAAATAATTGTATAATATTAACAGATATAGCATTCAGTATATAAATAAAAATTTTAAATATTGGAATCTTAACAAATATAACTCATAACGAAAATCACAATGAAAATCAACTTAATATTAATATTAGTACTTTTAATTAATTATGCATACTTAAAAAAATTAATAATTAACCAATTGAAAATAGGCAAAAAATAAAAAATATAAAGATTAAAATCAATCAAACCACTAGCAAAAATTAGTAACTTACATATATTAAATATTTAAATTTTTGTTTCAAATTTCGATATCGAGATTTATAATTAGACATGACTTTTTCATGGCTATTATCATCATCAATAATAACATTATGATTAATAATAGATCGACAATACCATCCGTCCAACATGAGTGAATTTCTGAAAAATATATTTGTGATATATAAATAAATAGTAAAATTTAATTAAAAATTTATACAATATGTAAACTATTTAATACTATAGATCAAAATTCATAGAAAAATATTAAATAAATCGTGTGTCTAGGATTAAACTAAAATCTCCCAGGTGTTCGGTGAGAGGATTGCGGGCAAGTGAAAGAGTTGGCGCATTTATTCAATAATTAACAAAATTGGATATTTTGACATTTTTTCCTTTTATTTACAAACTACACAATGAATATGATTCTAAGATGGTGTTGAAAATCTATAATATCTTGTTGTTCCGTGGTATTTGTCACGTGGCAATGGCATGCACTACATACAATGGTAGGAAGTTATAAATTTTTACATTGACCAAGTGTGCCTGATGGTACATGGTTACACTGAAAGTAAGAGGTCGTAAATTTCTAGTACTTCTTTGTGTAATGCCCATGACGGCTTGCGCGCTTGCAACTTCAAAATGTCCTTGTAGCTGGTGTCTGATACACCTGTAGTCGTTCGCGGTAGCATTGCAATCACATAATGCTTATGATGGCTAGTGCATTCGCACCATCAGTGCCGTACGAGGCTGGTGAGTACGTGCCTTCAATATTGCCGTACCACGCCGGCGCTCTTCAATCAAATTCACAGAAATTAATTTCTTACCTAATTCCGGGAAAGGTGCGCAGGTGGTACGTCTCTTATTTCGTGTTTCTCTTGGAATGCAATCAGCACTCTTGACCGCTTAATTGTGGCGCATTTACATTGACATTGTCTGACAACAATGCATAGGTCTTGCTATGCCGAAAGTCTTGATGACGTCAGAAACTAAACTCTAGAAATTTTGAGGGTTCTAAAAAGACAAGCTTTAGAATGTTCGAGAATTTTCAATCGACGTTGCTATGCGGAAATATTGTAGGACACTTGAAAATCAGGCGTAGAATATTCGAGAAATCGCAGAATCAATGTTTACAAACATAAGCATCAGAATGCTTGTACTTTTCCCATTTTAAAGTTTTTGGAAGTTGCTCCAATCGCGAACAACGTGGATAAAAATATTACATATTCACATAGTTTTTTTTAAAAAATTATATAATATATCTTATATAATCTAATCTAAGTTTTTTTAATTTTACTTTATCAATTATTTTATATTTTTAATTTTCCAACATATAAAGGCACTATTTTTAAGTATCACAGTAAATACAGCAATTAAAAATTGAATGAAAGTAATTTAATAATAGACAATTGATGAAATTAATGAAGTTACGCTCTTTTTTTATGTACACCATAAAATATTTATCATAAAAAAGAAAAGGTGTTACGTTTGAGAATTGGAACAAATTAAAATAATAACAGTATTAAAAAAATTTGTTAAAATAAATCTTATTTTTTTTATCATCAATTATATTGAATAAAAAAAGGATTAAAAAAGGCAATCCATAAAAAATAAAATATAAAATGGTACTAAAATGTTTCAAAAACTATTGAAAATAATTTTAATTAATATAATAAAAATGTGGAAGGCAATATTTTACCCTACGATTCAACATTCAAATAATTTATCTGTTAAATCAAAGTTTGTAACGATAAAATACAGAAATATAAAAATCAGAGAAGTTGACATGAAAAATAATGTTGGTGAATGATAATTAAATCATATATAAAATTTACTATATTAATATATATATATATATATATATATATATATATATATATATATATATAATATAAGCAATGCATGCTTTTTAACTTTTCTGACTTTCTCTAAATACATTGATCGAATATGCCAACCCTAATATATAACATTGTTTTTACCTCATCAGATCATACAAAATCCCACATGCCTACTATATAGTTACTAATTATCTAATTTATAGCAGAAATGATGACAGTTTATATCCTAACCATAATTTACTCTGATTCACAATTAAACATTTGCACTAGCTCTATAAAATCATTTGTCATCACAAAGCTTAATGTACATTTGTTATACTTTCATTTTTTCTGTATAATAATGCAGTAAATTCTTAAATTTCAATAATTTAAATAAATAACATGTAAATATAAATAATGAATATCAAATCTTCATCAATAAACAACTAAGATATTTTTACATTATTATATTATTATATTTAATTTAAAAGAAATTCAAATTTATAAAAAATAGTTTAACAATAAATTAAAAATTATATTACAAACTAAAACTTGAGTACAATTAAAAAATAAATATTTAATTTTATCAACATATTTAACGTACTTATTTAAATCACAGTCCTCTCCAGATTTTCAGTTATTTCAATGAATTTATATAGAAAATCATTATTGTTACAAATTCAAACAAATCAAACTTTTTTTAGTTCACATATGCTTGGCTATAACAGATGCGAAATTAAGTATCAAAGTTACTTTCTTTTAATAAAAAAAAAGTATACTTTGCTATAGCTTATATAATACCAATATTAATTTTATATGTAAGTTGTTATATTACATGTATTCAATTAATTACAAAAATTATGCAATGAAACAAAATTAATTTTTTTAATCTTTGGAACTTTATCAATTTATTGTTTTTAGTTTTAATGCAAATTTATAGAAAATAAGATAAGCGCTGAGCATATTAATTAGTTATTAAAAAAACTTATTTTTACTAATATAATTTTATTTAAGTTACAAAAAGTTTATTTAAATATTTTAAATTGAAATATATTGTTGTAAATAAACAAAATACTAGATATCAAATCATTCTGATGATGATTAATTAAATTAAATAAAAAGACAAATATAAAGATTATTATTGTAGTTAAATACAGTTGTGATTAAGAATTAAGAAATATTAAGAACAGTTATTAACAGTTGAAAAAATCTTTCAATAATTATATTACAATTATAAAAAAGATTTAATTAAAAATAAAAGTATGCTTTTATATAAAATGGTTATTTGTAAAATAAATAAAATAGGACTAAATGAAAATACATAAAACCAAAAATAAAAGTTTTACAATGTATACTATTTTTAAATTAAATATACATATATATATATCCATATCAATTTTATGATTTCATATAAAAAGTATAATAGTAAAGTATTATGTAGACACAATACAAAGTATATTTTGAAAACATGCTAAAAAATATTGTTTTAAAACTTAATATAATTTGATAAATTATAATTTATTATAGTTTTACATTTGTACTTTAATATAATTATATACATAAATGATTAGATAAAATTAAAAAAAATATTATTTTAAATAACATATATTAACTTTAATATTTATTTACAATATATATAAACTATATTATATTATAATGGTTATGTAATACTTAAATAAAAACATATATTTTTATTACAATCTTTTATCTTGTAAAAATATCTTAAATCAATATATTATATTATATTTAACATACTAATCATATTTTTGAAATAATATATTAATAACATTTTTCTTAATAATAAAAACAGTGTTAAAAATAAATTATCATTTATATACTGAAATAATTTAAATTTAAAATTTATATGCATAATTCTTTATAAGATTTTACTGCAAAATTAAAATTGCATACACTTCACTTCATACCTTTCACAAAACTTATTCTTAAATATTATTAATGCTTAATACAATAAATATGATAAATACAAAATTATTTCTTATATTGTATAATCAATAAAATAAAATATTGCACATGTAATAAAGATTTCCTTCAAAATATAACCATTATGAATTTATATTCTACTCTCTCTTCATCAATTACAAAAAAAAAAAAAAATTATAAAATAAAATATTTTGATAAAAAAATTATAAACAATCTTCATTTTTTAAAACAATGAAACATGAAAATTATAAATTATAAAATATATATATATTTTTTAAATTATATTTATTTACTTACATAAATGTATTTAATTTAAAATGATTATAGATATGTAACTTTCAATCTGTTATAAATGAAAATTAAAATTACTGTTGATTAATTATAGATGTATTAAACTAAAGTTTAATAATTTATTGATGAGTTTTTAGATGCTCAATTTCTATTTAGTAAAATTTCTGAAATATTAATTATATTAATTATTCATTAATAAAAAAATTGATATTCTTACTTTTAATATAACTTCATCACGGTTGTAATAGAATGCACGATAGCAGAATCCACTTTTTCTTGCTCTTATTGGCTTTCGTAAAATATATAATATGAACTCCAAGCGACTCTAGACTTTACCACTACTAGACTTTGCACCTTACAAATACATTTTTTGAAAAAATACTATTTATATTTATACGTGTTTCACTTATATGATATAATATTGTAATTAAAATTTCTAAAAAGTAATATAAATAAATCAATGAAATTTCAAAATATTAATGTATTTATGAAAATAAAAAATAGATTTAAGTTTTACTTTTTCAAATATTTTATATATATATATATATTCTTACTGATTACACTATGAGATATAGAACGTAATGTAGCTACTACACAATACCGAATCGTATCTGCTTCTAAAATGGCATAATTTTCTTTAAAGCTTGTAAATATAATTGACGATGCGTAATTCGTGATATAAAATGAATTTTTATGTATTGATATCTCGAAAAATTTAGTACTTGCCAAAAAAATGTATCTATTGCCACACTGTATGAACTATATTACATTTTTTTCCACATGCAGAAAAGGATAAACTTAAAATAATGTATTTTCATTTCAAATTCAATATTAATTATTTTTTATATTTATTATTCTATTTATTCATTTGTATGTTATATATATATATATATATGAATGATTAATTTTATCAAGATAATATATTAAAAATATAAAAGAAATATAAATAAATTTGTGCCAAACAAACTATACGGAATACTATTTGATTTGTTTCAATAATGTATAATAAAAAACAATGATTATTCTTATATATTCATCTAATTACATAAAGCGAATGATCAGAATTTAATCAACTTATCCTTCTATTTTGTATGCAACAAAAAGATATTCCCTTTTTTTAAATGTAATTAATAATATATATATATTGTAATGTAAATTACATTTTCGTTATGAATTATGTATTTTATACAATAATAAATTAATATACATAATATACATAATAATATACATAATAAAACCACTATAATAAAGCGGTAAAGAAGATTGAAAACAAGGAAATTTTATTAGTATTAGAATTCGTTGATTATAATGTATTCATTAAATATAATTATGAATATTTACGTATTGTGATAGAACCTTTCATCATACTTTAATAAATTTATAGTACGCTGAAATATAATTATAAGTAAATTTTTTAATCAATTATAAGCTATACGATCACATTCAATTTTTCTATATTGACAAAAGTTAATTATTTTCAAAAGTGATTCAATTCATTATATTATACTTTTTACGTTTTTTTGTCTACGACTTTGTTAGTTATATAACACCATGATCATATCACCTGTTAGTTTCTACCTAGAGAGGGAAAATAATTAATGTGAACTTCTGGGATCGAATGAACTTGTACAAAGCAACTTATTACGTATTAAAAATAAGAATCCTACTTACGATCGTCATTGTGTTATTGCATTCTATTACTGTGAAATGTTCTTTACAAAATATGTGTGTGTGAATCCTTGTATATTAATAATATTTATATTTTAAATAATAATAATATTAAAAAATAAACATATTCAAATATCGCTTATATTCTTAAATTTCTCATTAATATCTTGTATTCAGCAAAATAGTCAATCACATATTTTAAAAATTTAGTACATCGAGCTATTTAGATCTCGCTAAGTAGGGATTAATTAATAATATTCAAATAGAGATGGAGTACAAATGAGAATGAAATATAAAATTAGACTTATAAAGTATGATAATTTTTTTACTATTTTATTATTTACAATAATATATTTTACTATTTATGATATTAAAAAATAAGTTTGACATATTGCTTCACACTGAATAATTTTTTATACTTATTAGACTTATAATATAAAATATATTAGTAAATTAATTAGATACTTTTATGCAATATATGAATCTATTGAATAATATGATATAAATTAAATATATTTCTTAAATATCGATTTAAATATACAATATAAATATTAAGGGATTTTAAATATTCTAATTATATAAATTATATTATATTGATACATATGTTCTAATTGGTAAGAATATACGAAAAAACGATAATTGTTCATTTTATTATTATAAGTTAGTTGTAAAATTTAATTATCGAGTTATTCTTAAAATTTAAATATATTGATTTATCTAGTAATCAATTTGAAAACGAGTATAAAATATATATATATTTTTTATTACTTACAAAATTATTGGTAGGTAAAATAATTTAAAATTAAAAGAATTTTAGATTGAAATTATATGTATATGCAAAATCCAATAAGCTAAGACCTTCTTACGAATGGCTCAAATATCGCAATCTATATTTACTTCTGTGCGATATGGTTTAAATTTTACTTTTCATCTATGTTTCATAATATCAATGGTTAAATTCTATATTACATAATGAACTTATTTGTTCTTTGAATAAAAATTATATTACGATTTATATATTTGAATCTTGCATTAAAATGTTTAAAGTTTAATTATTTGGACATTTATAGATTTTGATATTGTATAAAATAAATGAGCTCTTGAAATAATAGATTATTTTACGTTACTGAGAAAAATCATTATGGGTGATTCATTAGATGGGGCGGTCGAAACAAATACCGAGTCACAAAACTCAATAATAGTTGATTTTTTCTTATTTACTAATTATTTACGAAAAGTCATTTGTGTATTACATCCTGATGATTTAATACCATTTGCGTTCGATTCTGCTATTGAAGATAAAAATAATCAAGAATGTATTCGAAAGTTCATCAATGATTCTCAAGTTTGGGTACTCTGCATTCAAAGAATATCTAGTAAAGGTTAATATTTATAGTGTCTAATTTTAAATTCAAATTTATTAGTATTACATAGAATTAAATATAAATATTGAATTGATCAAGTATAAAACCGTTTTAAAAATTAGAATTGATACCTTAAATATTTAAATTATTACATTAATTAGAATTGTATTTATAATAAAACTAATTCTGTCAAATTAATTGTATTTATCAACAATTTATTTTTATTTAACTATTTTTTAAATTTAAAGATTATAGTATAAAATTTGTGCAACATTTTTTGTTTGTACAAGAACAATTATTAAATTTTTGTATATGGTACATTATTTTTTATGTTACAAGGGTCAGCTAGAAATTTATATTTACTTTAAATTTAGTTTAAATTTATTTTTTATAATATTATTAACTAATATTTTGAAATTATATTATTCTATTACTATAATGACAATGTTTTAGCCATATCCTAAATTGTTTTGTGTTATATTTTATATTTTATATATTTCTTAAATAAAATAGTTGAGTATATAAAGTAATTTAGTAACAGAATAAATATATTATTGTATCTTGTGAACATTTTTAAAAATGAAATTAAAAATTAGAAGTTTGACATTAAAAATTCTGAAGATTTTTTTATGACTAAAATTGTTGTACAGCCTTACATAGAAGGTAGACAATAAAGTACAGATGTTTATTTTATAAAAGCCTTCTCAGAGGAGTATTGAAATAGTGCAATTACATCATAAAAATCACTCTTTTGCTTACAAAGCTTCTGTAAAAAATAAATATTTTTATATATTTTTTTATCAAATATGGTCTTTATATTTTAATGTTATATAGAAAAAGTTTTGTAATCATAAGAATTATGAAAATAATTATACAGTTATCTTTAGATTATGTATTCATTGATTCCTTAAATAACATGATATCTTTATGCTTAGTTATATGTTATCTGTTTATTTTTCATACAAAATGTTTTGCAATGTATTATCTTATTTCTGTTGGTGGCCATACCATACATATAATTGTTGTATCAAACGAAGATTATTTAGTTTATTTTTTGTATTGTTTAGTTAATAAATCTATTTTTCATTATCTATATAACCAATGTCATACCTTATAACAAAGTACATTAAGGACTTTTTGGAAATAGGATAAAATGGGTTTCAATTTATGTCTGATAATGGTCATAATAAGAAATCTAAATATTGCAATTGGTATGTGATTCGTAACTTAGTAAATAAAGATTGGTATGTTATTTAAAGTTTAAAAGCCTGCAAAAAATAAATGAATCATAAAAGGTGAGCATCAGAACCAATAAGAGCAGCAGTAAACTTTTATATATTTTCATTTCATTTTCTAAAATTAATGTACACAGATTAAATTTGCATAGACCTAAGAGTTTTTTCAGACAAATGTAAAGAAATTTGAAAGGGCTAACAAATGCGTGAAATTTGTTAGTATACAAATTAACACTAATATTTAAAAGCGAAAAATAGAAATTATAGAATAAATGAATATGGCTTATAAATATAGGAAAAACAAAGGAAGCAACAAAATTCTATGCATGTGAGAGAAGAGTTGAATGCCTACTTTGGAGGTCATATTAATCAAACAGAAATTAAATATTATGGAATATATTTAGTGTTCAACACAATATAAATAAAAACAATTGTTAGTCTAACATCTGTCTTCAAAACATTACTTATATTAGTCAATTAAAAATTTAATTATATAAATTGTATTTTTAATAATTAAAATGCATATTTAGTAATTAAATATAATATAAAATCTTTACTCCTTTAAATTTTTGGAAGATTTTAACTAATTGTATGATTTAGATTATAAATAAATAGAATGTAATCAATATTTATACTACATATATATAAATGTAATATATACATGAAAAATTCAGTTGTACTTAATAAGTTTTATTATATATTTACTTATAGAGGATGACAGTGTTGAAGGTGATGATGAGAAAGAAAATACTGTTTTCATATCGAATGAAATTCATTTCACAAACCCTAAACTCGCTTCCATTGTATTTACTAAAAGAGGTACAATAGTTGAAGCTGATAAATCAATTCACTCCCAATTACGACTTGTACTTTTTCCTGATGGACCACCTTACGAGACTTTGCATGCTATTAGCAAAACTATGGGTCCATATTTCAAAAGTTATGTAAAAGAAAAGGGAAAAATCGATCGAGATGGAGATAAGATGGCACCATCAGTTGAAAAAAAAATTGCTGAATTAGAAATGGGACTGTTACATTTACAACAAAATATTGATATCCCTGAAATATCATTACCAATACATGCAGTCATTCAACAAATTATAAAACAATGTAGTGAAGAAGGTAGAAAACCAAAAGTTGCAGATTTTGGAACTAAGGTTGAAGATTCTACTTTTTTGAATCAACTTCAAAATGGTGTTAATAGGTGGATCAAAGAGATTCAAAAGGCAAGTATACAATTTAAAATTTATTTTGTTACAAAAAATACTTTCATCAATTCTTTTCATTATTTACTAGATAAAAATACTACTATAGTACAAATTTATTTATAGACGAAATTTTAACTTTATTTACAATCTAAACTAGTATTAATTGAAAGTTTTTCATTTAATTTTGTTACATTATGTAGAAATAGCAACATCAGAATTAAAACATTTATTTAAATTTATTACCTCTGTAATTAACTGTACTTAAGTTTATTACTTAAGTTTTTAAACAACTATTTGGAAGACAGGTGTAGAAATAAGTAAAAAAAAAATGAAATATAAAAAGTACTGTATTCATTCTTTATTTCCGTTTGTGAAAACATTTAGCTGCCCAGTTTTTATTCCTCAGTTATAATTGAAGTACATACATTATAAATTACATTCAATACATGCATCATTAAGTTACAAAATTTGGTTCTTTTATACAAATTAACTATTATTTTTTATTTATAGCATTTCAATTATATACACATTATTATTATTATATACACAATATTAAACGATATATATTTTTCTATGTTAGATTCCTAAAATTGTTTATTACTCTATTTTATTTAGATTATTTTTATAAACAATTATTTTTAGATATATTTCTGTATTAATAAAAACTTCTTCGTTATTGTAGGTTACAAAATTAAATCGAGATCCTGAATCTGGGACTGCTCTGCAAGAAATTTCATTTTGGTTGAATTTGGAGAGAGCATTACATCGTATACAAGAAAAAAGGGAAAGCATCGAAATATCTTTAACACTTGATATATTAAAGCATGGGAAACGATTTCATGCTACAGTTAGTTTTGATACTGATACTGGACTAAAACAAGCTTTGGCAACCGTTAACGATTATAATCCATTGATGAAAGATTTTCCAATAAATGATTTGCTTTCAGCAACTGAGCTAGAGCGTATACGTTCTGCTATTCAACAAATTTTTATACATTTACGAAAAATCAGAAATACTAAATATCCAATCCAAAGAGTTTTAAGACTTGTTGAAGCTATTTCAAGAGATTTAGGTCAACAATTTCTAAAAGTGTTAGGAACACGACGACTAATGCACATTCCATTTGATGATTTTGAAAAAGTAATGACTCAATGTTTCGAACTATTTAATACTTGGGATGATGAATATGATAAATTAACACAATTATTAAGAGAAGTAGTAAAACGTAAGCGAGATGAACATATGAAAATGGTGTGGCGTGTTTCCCCAGCTCACAAAAAATTACAAACTAGAATGGAACATATGAGACGTTTTCGTCGTCAACACGAACAACTTAGAACTGTTATAGTTCGAGTTTTACGACCTGTTCGACAAAATAATAATTCTTCTTTAGATAATAATGATAACGATGTAAAAGCCGACTTTGCTTTAGATGCGGCGGATGCTAATGCTATAAGCGAAGTAAATTTAGCTTATGAAAATGTTAAAGAAGTTGATTGTCTGGATATTACTAAAGAAGGCTTAGAATCATGGGAAGCTGCGGTTAATAGATATGAAGAACGTATTGAACGGGTTGAAGCGCGAATAACAGCTCATCTTCGAGATCAATTAGGAATAGCAAAAAATGCTAATGAAATGTTTAGAATTTTTTCTCGTTTTAACGCATTGTTTGTAAGACCTCATATTAGAGGAGCAATACGCGAATATCAAACTCAATTAATACAAAGAGTTAAAGATGATATCGAAACTTTACATGAAAAATTTAAGGTGTGTATTATAATTTAATATAGTAAAAAAAACTTAAAATCAATGATTAGATAGAAAAATAAAATTAAATTACATGCAAAATAATTTCTAATATAAGTAGGTAAAAAGATATATAGGAATTTAAAATAATTATAAAATTAAAAAAATACATTTAAAAAATATTTAAAAATGTCAAAAAATTAATTACAATGAATCTAAAAGAACTTCGATATTTTTGTGATTCATTGTAGTATATTAATGTATGTGCACGTGTAATTATAGACAAGTACTGAATAGCGATAAATAATTATTTAATTATTTCTTTTGCTAGTCATGTAGACTTGAAAGGTCATTTACTATATTATTAGTGATGTTTAAGTTTGAATATCCTTCCTGTCCATATTTAAGCACAATATAACTTGTATTTTTATAACATAAATAATCATTATAACCATAGTCTATATCGGATAAATAGTTTTGTAAATATGAATGTATTTATTTGAAATTATTGAAAACATGTGCTTATATTGATCCTTTATTAATTAAAGTTTTAATAATGGAAGCATTTTTAAAAACTTTTATCAAGAATTGTATTCAATTTACTGTGAATTGATGAATTTTTTAACATCCTATATTGATGATCAAAGATATAAAACCAAATCTTTTCTTATGAAGCTATATTTAATTTATTTAATTGATGTAAATTTATTTTAAATACTGGTACAATCATTTTTGATGTACTTTTGGAATGTTATATATATTTAAAATACCAAAGATTTATTAAACGATAAGAATTTATCTGTTTTTAATAAAATTCTATTATGGCTTTTTATTTAACAAATTTTCCAAGAAATTCGATAATGTACACAAATAACATCGAGATTTTTTATCTATATTATAGATGATATTAATACAATACAATTTCGGTTTAAGAAGTTTATACATCTCCAATTTGTATGCCTTCAACTTAAATTATTTTCTACCATATATGGTACAACGATTGCAACACATTTATATATATAAAATTTAATAAAAATCATATATTGCTTAGATTTAAATAGAATTTAACTTTATAATATTTTTATTAACAATTATTTTATATCTTTAGGTTCAATACAGTCAAAGTAAATGTTGTAAAATGAGCATGATGAGAGATCTTCCTCCAATTGCCGGTTCAATTATTTGGGTAAAACAAATTGATTTTCAACTTACAATGTATTTAAAACGAGTTGAAGATGTATTAGGTATAGTATATTAAAATATATAAAGCACTTTTTATATTTTGAGGAATTTAACAAATTCTGCCATATTTAAATATACATTATACAGAATTCATTGTATACAAAATGTATTCGCCGTTCCGACTTATTTTACCAAGGCCGGTTCGAAGAATACAAATTGATGCCGTTGACAACTCAGAGACCATGGGTGTTATTTGGTAGCGATGAAAGGTCACAAGTGGAAGGGATATTATAATAATACAATATAAATACGGCTGATGTATATGCTATTCTGTTATTTATCAATAACAAGGTTGACTAGTATTACTATTATTAATTATTACTAAAATAACTCTTGGGGTGGATTGATGTGTTTGCGGTGGCAAGCGTATACTCATCTATGCAGCGTGATGGTTTGAATATAAGCGCAGAATGGCGCGAAGTTTGATTCGTCAACACTCGCGCTGTTTGAATGAGCACGTGCGTAGTTGAGGTTATGGTTGTTACGAAGCGTGACACATGTAGTGTTGTTACATGATATGTATTCGTATCGTAGCAAGCGTACCTTGTCCTGATGTTTGTGCACTGCAATAAACTCGGTTGACTAGTATTGCTAATATTAATTATTGAATTAACTCTTGGGTTGGATTGATGTGTTTGCGGAGGCAAACATATACTCATCTATGCAGCTTGATTGTTGAATATGAATGTAGAATGGCGCGAGTGTTCGTTCGTCGACACTGGCGCTGTTTGTTGCTTAATTTTATAAGCGTTCGAACTTGAACTAAGGTGAGGGTTACCGAAAAGACGTCCTTTTAGCGGGCGCGAACTTGACGACGCGTACTGGAATCTATTCCGCACTGTTGTTTTCGGGAGAGCTTTTTCGCCCTTAGTTTATCGATGGAATACTCTGAATCTCAAAGTATGTAATTAGTGTAATAATAATTTTACTTACGGAGACCTATGGTGTATTTGAATTGGGTCCTTCTTGTTTTTTCTACAATGGGGTTCGTCACTGCACACTTGTCGTTGGAATATGTCGCCCGCCAATAGGACTTGTAACGATAGCTGTAGTGAACTACATTAATAGGAAACTACCAATGTGTCTGGACTTCGATAAGGTAATTCGTCTCCCGCCAATAGGACTTGGAACGATAGCTGTGGTGAACTACGTTAATAGAAGACTACCAGTATCTTCGCACTCCGATAAGGGAATGTGTCTCCCGCCAATAGGACTTGTAACGATAGTTGTCTTGAACTACGCTAATAGAAGACTTTCCACTTATTAATTGAAAAGTGCGCCCCTTAAATACATTTGCTGACCATGAACTTCATTTGAACCCCTTCCCTTATTTTCTGTCCAATCAGAGACTCCTCCCTTACAGAGCAAGGGCAGCGCCTCTTGTGGCCTCATAGTTAGTTAAGGGCCTAGTTGTCTCTTGGTCTTCATGGCAAGAAGAGCTCACGTTGCCGCTGATGCATCTGACGACAACGGGAAGAGGGGGGGGGGGCGTAGGTCCTCGTAGATCCGCTTGACATAATGCCTGAAGTAATTGCCGAGTGGAGCGAATTCGTACATATGCCTAACTGAGTGGGTTTTTCCGTGTTTTATTGTATTGTTTTCCCAGATGTTTTATGACACTATTGCTAGATAGTTGGGAACAAGAAAGTTTTGAAATCTATACACAGATTTGACGATGTTATATTGCATTGAAAAAGGGTCTCGCATTCTCGAACACATGGTATTTATTAATTAATATAATTTTATTCAATATTTAATTTATGTAGGGATATTAATAATATATATGTTTATATAAACTAATTTATTGATTTTAATTTGAGGTTTTCTTTCATTTTTCTTATAAGTATATTCAAGTAATAACTAATAGACCACATAATACTTGATGTAAAAAAAAATATTTGAAATCATTTAACCAATTATTTAATCCACAATTCAAAAAAATATATAAAATATAAACAGGTTTAGAAAGAATAAACAATTTTAAATATCATTGTACAAGTGCATGTATAAAATACAAATGAAAATCTATCCTTTTAAGTTATTTAATGTTGTTAAAGCCTTTCGTTTTCATATTATATTTTGATGCTTCCTCTTTTACATAATATTCTTTATTACGTTCATCATTATAATATACTATTTATTCAATAGAAGAAAGTTGATTATTTTTAATTATATGAAAAAAAAAATATTTTTTGTGCTTATATTTTAATAGCATCTTCAAGTAACAACAATACATTAATATTAAAATACTTATTAAAAATGGTTTATTTAAATTAAATGTCAGAATTTTGTGCAGATTATGTATATATTTAATGTTAATTACTATTTGACATACTTTATTCATAGTACAGAAGATTTCTGTATTAGTATATCGATGACTTATGTTATTTTATTTTAATAAAGTGGCAAAAGTCGTTTATTTAGTTAATTTTAATTGAAAATGAAAATATGATATGAAATAAATTCCAAAAAACAACAAAATTAATACTATGGTTCATGCTTAATTTACATACGTGTATTTTTCGTAAATGAATCTGATGATTTATTTAAATGTTAATCTGAAATAGTAAAAAGTTTGTAAGGATCCAAAATTAAAATTTTGTTGGTATTTACATAATACTACTATTTCTTTGTGCAAATATATTTCATAAAATTAAAACGAATTAATAATATTGTCACATTTTAATTTATTACATAAATCGGAATTTATATTTCAAGTAGGTGTGAAAAAATATAATATTGGATTACGTGAAAAATTTTCTTCGCAATGATCAATAAAAAAGTCATATGCATATATTAACATGTAGACCAAATTGTTTCTTAGAAATTAAATTATTTTATAGAAAAAATAATTTAAAATTATGGATAACTCCTATTATATATATAATATATACTGTGAAATTTAATATATGAATAGTTCAATTACAATTGTATTTGAATAACATAATAGCCATTTATAATGTGAAAAAAATTTTACACTTTTTAAAAAAGAATTCATTTAGTAAGTACTTCATTAAATGAAAAATGTAAATTTTTAAAACAAACGTATCTTTTGAGACATGTAATATACAATCATGACAAAATTTATAGCGAAAAATTTATTGTAAAACATTCATCGAGAGGGTTTTAGGAAAAGCTAAAATTTAAATAAGAACTTTTCTCTTTTTTTCATTCATTAAATAAATGTCGCTTTAATAAAAAAATATTTTTTATGTAATTTATATTTACTATATTATTTAAAAATTTTGTTCTTCCGTTTTGCGTTTTTATATTTAAAATTAAAAAATCAAATAATTTTAAACGATTATCATCGTGTTCAATTTCATATTAATATTGTTGATTATTAATCATGAATTTTCATAAAGAATATACATTTTATTTTGTATTATAATTAAATTATTTTAGGAAAAGGTTGGGAAAACCATATTGAAGGTCAAAAGCTGAAAGCTGATGGAGATAGTTTTCGAATGAAACTTTCTACTCAAGAGATTTTTGATGATTGGGCTAGAAAAGTACAACAACGTAATATTGGAGTCACTGGACGTATTTTTACAATAGAAAGTGTAAGATCACGAACAGGACGTGGTAATATTTTGAAATTAAAAGTTAATTTTTTACCAGAAATTATCACACTTTCAAAGGAAGTTCGAAATTTAAAAAATCTTGGATTTCGTGTTCCAATTACTATTGTAAACAAAGCACATCAGGCAAATTTACTTTATCCATTTGCAATAAGCTTAATTGAAAGTATTCGAACTTATGAAAGAACATTAGAAAAGGTATTCTATAAATACTAATACAATTAATAGTATTTAATAATAATGTATATATTAATTTTATTATACCAAATACTAGTTTTATTTTTATGAGTGTAGCTTTGAAACATGGATTTTAATTTTTATTATGAAAATAGATATCTGAGAACGTAAAAAAAGCTTCTTTGTCATAAAATAATCATTAATTAATAGAAAAATACAATCAATACATATATGAACTTCTTGCCTTAAAAAAATATTAGTCCGATTGAAGTACATTTATTGTAACTGTACAAAGAATCATAATGGTTCAATATTTTTTAATCATATCTTTTACTGCTTTTGAAATTTAATTTACAAAATCTTACAAATCTAAATTATGTTACTTACGGAAATTCAAAAAATTTTATATAAGCAATGGTTGAAACTTGCTATTCAATAATTGTTTTTTTATTTTTTATAAAATGACCCACTTAGCAATTTTTTATCTATGTACATTAAAGTATAATTGATTTTTTTTTAATTCAACTTATGTTGTAATCGCTCATTTTCAATCACAATGAAAACACGGTCAATTAAATAAATCAGATGTCTTTTAACTAAAATATGTTCGTTATTTATCACAATTTTAAATTTCAAAAAAATTTGATCATTAAAATTATTAGACATTTTTACATTAACAAAAATTAATGTACAAAATACATAGCAACAATGTTGCTATAAACAAGATTGATATTCATCACGTTTGTTCTTTAATAAATCATTAAAATTACCATTTCAAAATCTTTAATAATTTTGAAAAAAAAATGTTATTAAAACATATACTCCATGTATCTTATTCTTTAAATTGGAAATTTAGTTATAATATAATGAAATATGAATATAAACTTTTTTTTTTAATATTTGTGGTATGTTCGAAACTGATTGATTTCTTGACTCGAACTGCCAATGTTTCGATGGCTTTATAATAATTTATTGCTCGTCCTAGTAGATTCTTGGGAAGCAGTCAAGTGAAAAGGTTGTATAAATGTTTAGTATGTGTAGACTTCATTAACGTATGGTTTATTAATCGTTAAATTAATAATAGTATTCAATTCTCATAGAAGATTGTAAACTTTGTTTTAACGCAATGATGTGGTTGCTCCTTGATGGTGACAATGACATGACGTCAGTTAAAGTTGTAAGGATTAGCAGTAATACGGGCACACTTTAATATAGGATGTGTGACCTAAATGCGTATACAATGAAAATGGCTTTTAGTCTGAAAGCGTATACATTGAAAAAGTAGCGTGTAGCCTGAAAGTGTATACAATGAAAATGGCTTCTGCTAATGTTGAAAATATTACACTTCTAAAAGGACGTATGTCGACTAAATTATGAATGGCTTCACTGTTTTAGCGTTACTGATTGACTAGTTTATTGCTGTAAACTCTGGCTGAATGGCTTAATTACAATGAGTGTAACTGAGTGACTGGTGTATGGCAGAAATGACTGGCTGAATAGCGTAATGACTGCAGAATTTACAATGAGCCTTAGACCTAGTGTACTTTTAAATATCCGCGCGGCAGCTTACTTAACTAGCAATAATGCATAGGTATTGCTATGCGGGAATCTTACATGATGCGTGAAACTGAAACTCTCGAAGTTTCGAGAACTCCAAGAAAAGCAAAGCTTTAGAAATTTGGAGAATTCCAAACGACGTTACTATGCGAATACGAGATAAACATTGTAGGATATTTGAAAGTAAGGCTTTGGAATATTCGAGGATTCTCGGAATTGAATGTTTACAAATTTTGGTAACTAGAAGACCTTTCCGAAAGCCAAAGTCTCGGAAAATGTTCAATTCCGAACAAAGCATTTACTTAAGAATTAAGTTTTTTACTATATTTAATTAGATCAATAATTAAACTAATTTTATTTTAAACTTTAAGTTTTAATTTTATATGCATAATTAAAATTTAATTGAGCTAACGATTAGCTTTATAATATTTTTAAATATTAATATGAAATACTTGAATTTATATTAAATATTTGTTACTTATGTATCTCAATGGAATCATATTTTTTGTGTAAAAAAATTATCATTTATAAACATTATCATTAATTAAAAGTTGAAATATAGGCTATCTTATTGTATTGACGTTAATATTAACAATAAATTTTATGCCTTGTTTATTTCAGACTGAATGTTTTCTTATTGTAATATAAATTCTACAAAGATACTGCTTTTGTTACAGGATTATTTAATGTGTTCTACTTATATCGTTTTGAATTTTTATTATCTAATTATTGCGTAGAATTAGTATATAATTTTGTTATATATTAAAATTAAGTAATCAACTTTTTATATATAAAGTTTATAGTATTTGGGATGTAAGTTAAAATAATAATTATAATACTGTTTGGAGTAATTGCCAAGAATTTAAAAATGGAAAAGTACATGCTCTCTCACGCTTATATTTGTAAACATTGATTCTGCGAATTTTCGAATAGTCTACACCTTTTTTTCTAGTGTCCTACAATATTTCCGCATAGCAACGTTGATTGAAAATTAGATATTTGCTATAATGTTATTAATAATTACTCAAGCCTTTGTGATCAAATTTATCTGGTATAATATGTTTGTTTTAGTTTGTTTTTAATCTCTATTTCATAAACAAAATAATGTCACTCATGTTCTTATAATTTATTTATTATACTATATATATATTGATTATTTGTAAGATCACCATATTAGTTAAATGATTTCAGATTATATTTATTTAATGAGACATAAGCTTTGACTTCATTGATTAAAAAAAAATATTTAGGTAATGTAGCAAGTTATAAGTAGATGTGGAAAAAAATGGAATGACTAACAAATCTGAAAAAAAGGAGATGAAGAAATTTGAGTAGCTCAAATATGACTCTTTTAAGTTTTATTTCTATGTGTATAAATATCTGAAATTGATTATATAAACAATAAATCATGTAATTTTAAACTTTTGTATTATTAATCCAGTGGATTACTATTTGATTTTGTCAAAAAACAAAAGTAAAAATGTCATAAATTTATTGAAACTTGAATTTGATTTGCTTTTACAAATAAAAAAATATATAAATATAGAAACAAAGTTTTATATTTTAATCTATAAATACCTTTAAAAAGTACCGAAACATGCACTTTTACTATCACGGTACTCATTAACCAAGTGATTTTTTAGTCAGCCTAAAATGCCTCCGTTTTGAATACAATTGATTTAAATCATCTTTTATTAATATTGACGTTAATATATTTATATACATTCACATTTAAATAATCAACTACTGTTTAAAATACTTGTAAGAGTAAAATTTTTGTTATAACATTAAAATGAATACGATAATGATAATTTATAACGTTTTAACAATGATAGTGAAACAGAAAATGAAATTAAAATAACGCTACTGGTTTCATAATTATTCAATTCAATTATTATTGAATAGTGATTGCAATTGATTGAAATTAATTTGAATAGAAAACAAAATTTATCTAAATGTAAGCACTGATTTGCAAAGTACAATTGTAAACAAATATAAATTTTATTGCTATAACATTTATATAATGAAGTAATAGAAATTATTAATGTACTTGATCTAATTTTTGTTTCTGCTTTTTAAAAATTAATTTCATGATATGTATTTTTTATAGATTGAAGATAAATCAAATATTATTCCACTAATAGCTGGTTTACGAAGAGATGTTTTACTTTTAATATCAGAAGTAAGTAAATTATACCATGTATCGAATAACATTTATATAATTATAATTTTAATTTAATTTTTAATATATTACTTTGATTATTTTGTATGTGTATTGTAGGGTATTACTTTAATTTGGGAAAGTTATAAATTAGATTCATATGTTCAAAGACTATCTGATGTTGTGTTATCTTTTCAAGAAAAAGTTGAAGATCTTTTGGTGGTAGAAGAACAATTAGACGTTGATGTGAGATCTTTAGAAACGTGTCCATATTCAGCTAATACATTTTCTGATATATTAATAAAAATACAAAAATCTGTCGACGAATTATCATTAAAAAATTTTTCAAATTTACATATATATGTATTAAGACTCGATGAAGAAGTTGAAAGAAATTTAGCTTCTCGCCTTGAAGCAGGAATCAAGGCTTGGACCGATGCACTTATGGGTCGCAAAAAAGACGTGGATTTTAGTATGGATACTGACGCTCCTACACAACCAACGCATAAATTAGGTGGCGATCCGAAAATACAAAATCAATTACACGAGGTTCGAATCACTAATCAGACTATGTATTTGTATCCAAGTATCGAAGATGCTAGGTTTCAAATAATGCAACAGTTATTTGCATGGCAGGCAATTGTTACTTCACAGGTTAGTTTATCTTTAACAAAATAATAAAACTTACATTCAAAATATCAATATTTTAATATATAACATATAACATACAATTATCACATATATAACAACATATAATATATAACATATTAATATATATATTCGGATAGTAGTGTTCATTCACTATGTTTGGAAATTATAAAATTATATCCAATGAACATAATTTGAATTCAAATAAGTAAAGAAGTCACGTCTACGTGGTCATTACGAGTTAACTTATATAATTATATCTGTTATGATACTGATTGTGTTTTATAATAATTTATGTTTGTATCATTTTTGTCATTTTGTGACTCATGTATCACTTCTATTTAACTAACTTAATTATCCTTCATATGAGAAAAGTATATAAATGAATATCAAATATTAATTATTGTTAACTGTTGTCTGAAATGAAGTCCATTTTAAAATGGGCTATCGATATTTTTGCCGTGTATATATTTTATTTTTTAATAATTTGGTCTGCTTAAAAAAACTTGTTTTACATTTCTGTATGATGAATGGATATATACCATGAATAATTATCAGTGTTTAATACTTTATCAAGTTTTAGTATAGATAGAAATTCTATTATAATTAAACATACAAGATGAACTATAAATAATATATCAAAATTGAAAAAGGAAAAGTGTAGAATATTGCCTGATTAAGCAATCATATATTACGATATATGAATATAAAAATAATTACAGTACTTTATGTTTAACGTGACGTTTAACAGTTGTTTGCCAGTATGGTAAATCAGTACCTTCTAATTATACAAAAGAGTTATTGTTCGGAAAATAATTCCACAATCTGACTCGTCAGCCAAACGTGTAAAAATCAACTTAGAACTAAAAACCCACTAGATGTTGTGTGGGGTTGCCGGGCAAGTAAAGGGTTAATGCATCGATTCAATAATTAACACATATCTTTATTATTGCTGTTTGATTAATTTATTTTACTTTATTTCCAATGAGAATTATTAACCATGGTTAAATTACAAATGGTCTTTATATTTCTTGATAATCTTATGGTATTGATATATCTGTTCATTGGATAATTAGAGGATAATCAATTTCTTATTCTCTGCATGTCACTAGTGAGATTATGATTTACTGTAACAAGAAGTAGATTATAATCTATTGAATATTATCACTAAGAGGTTATGGCGATTGTAGTGCTCTGATCGAACACTGCAATGCTATTGTGTTTATCTTAACACGTGTGCAGTTGCCTCTAAATATCGGTCGTAAGAGAGCCTAAATGGAGGTTATACGAAGCTGTGCGCCATCTGTGGCGGGAACAACTT